CTCTCTCTCTGTCATTCTGGTTACCTCGTAACGACACGAAAAATTTACATTAACCGAATCCTTCTCCAAGTACTGCTTGACCTCAAAGCGGATTTTAATGTTTGAAGGAGGTTACTAGCCTTAGTACTTTACTTACTCCCTGGTATAAGTAACTATATATACCTGTTAGAGCCAACTTATTTATTATGAACTTTTTTCTAACGAATAAAATCTAACACAATTGCAAAGATATTTATTGAAATGATAGTGAAGTATTTTTCGTCGCACTCTTTCTTATAAATATATCAACCATTTTTATTTTGACGTTTATAAAACAGGATTTGAGATGAGATATTCCATTTCTATGAGAAAGTACATAGATAAAAAAAAGACTATTTAACTGGAATGTATGTACTTAATTACATATTACAAGTTCTCCAACTGAGATATTAACTTATTCTCTATTTGCAAAGTTCGTAGAAAATACTATAGTCATTCCCTAACATATAACACATACCGTCCCCTTTTTACTCCTACACCGTCGGCATTTTCAAGGCTTCTTCTTCTCCTTTTTCCTGAGCGTTGTAGGATCGTTTGTCATTAATTTTCTCCTCCTTTTGCTCGGTACGAAAGCATCCTGGCGCCGTATGTTCATGCGAACAACGCAGCCAACAAGTTCTATAATTAAGAAACATGCACATAAACCTACATAAGTGCACGTATTTAACATTTACGGAGTATTACTATTCACTTCGGAGAAATAATATTCCCATTTTAGGAAATATTATTTTTCATTTTGTAGTATTGGTAATAATTTATCTGAATTAGTTTATTTATACAATCGTGAATAAAAATGTCTTTGCATAATTTGGAAGAAAAAAATGATCACCCAAATTAGAAGTGATAAAATGTAGAAGGATATAAAAATAGCGCATAGATGTGCTATCGAATCTATTTGTTAATTACACGTTTCCTAAATTAGAGATCTTATCAACGGAACACCCTATATAGAAGCTTTTGTTTCCTTGCTAACGCGCGATGCACGTAGCGCACTATCTGTCTCATGTACTTTGTGTTTGCGTTTCACCAAAAGGGTATGAGGATGGTTTATTGATCGACAGAAGCAACGCAGGAAATGGTTCTGCGTTCCATATATCGTGATCGCCGAGAACGAGAGAGTATTTACCGTCAGACCTGCCCTTTCTTTCCTATTTTTTTCTTTTTATTCGTTCTCATCCAACCCTCAATCGACCTCTTTCCTTTATCTTACCCTTTTCTTTTCTTCTTTTATTTTTTTTTTAATATTATCAATACATACACATTCTTACATCCTCCTACGAGCATGCTCCTTTGATTTTTTTTATCCACATTTTTCTCTCCCCCTTCGTTTTTCAATTTCTATATAATACAATTTTCTCTTTTGTATTCTTTGGTATTCTTTTGCCATAGTCATCGTGTCGTTTTATTTCTCATTGATCTTTTAGCCGTTCCTTCTTTTCGAATTTATCGTCGAAATTATGTTTACGTCATTACGTAAGTTATCGAGAAAACCTTTCCTCCTTTTTTTCCCCTTTACTTTTTAACTTCGTAGCTAGAATACTATTTCTTCTTTCTTATCCTTCTTTGCTAGCGAAGCCTACCTTTTTTTTTTCTTCTTGTTTTTTCGAGTTGACACGATTCGATTATATTTACGGAATCTAATATAAAGACAAAGGACGAAGTTAATGCACGACACAAGTGGATTTACTCTTTTATCCAATAAACGGAAGATCTTTTGAATTGTTACAGCACCGTATTGAAAAAAATGGTTTATAAATAATGACAGAAAGGCGGGACGGAAAGGGATGATTAATTCGATCGAAATTAAATTGGTGAAAAATTTCATTCGTTAAATAATAAGCCTTTACAATATTAAAATCTCATTTAAAATGATGAGACTTGCAAAGAAATATTTGTAAATGTATATATGGAGAACAAATGATAACGAGTATCTACGTGTTTTGGTAGGATCATTTTCGCGCGAGCAAACACATCCTTTTTCGATAACAAAACAGTATTTCCCAATCAAGAAATAATTATAAACGTAGGTATAAAGAGGGAGTATCGTTGGATGATATTTATTTCATTTATTAATATTTGTTGTTCTTTTTTTATTCTTTTCGTTTTTATGAAATTTTTACAATATGCAATTAAGAATAATTAACTCGGAAATTAAAATAAATATAAAATCGAATATACATATAAAATAATACGTGCGCGAAATATTCATATTTATAGTTGCGGTTATGTTATCATCAAATTTGAACGTTAACGAAACTTTAGTATTTCTGTGGTCGAATGGTTGAATAATAATTTGTGATCATTTATACGTGAATCCTAAAATAAATGTAACCTCAAGAGGTACGCGTTTCTTTCTTCTCTATATTTTACTCGATACTCGGTTAGGATTTCATTTTGTCAAATTTCTAAAGAGCCATTTTGGAAATCTCGCGAAGAGGATTCCTTTAACTAGGAAAAAAATTCATGCACCTTGGGAGTAATTAATTTCAACATAGTCAAAGTATTACAGCTCGCTTCTAGTAACTTTCATTCGTTTTACATTCCCATTATATTTCTATTTTTTTTTTCACGAATTTCTCTTTGATATATCATTTTTCAAGTATACTACGAAATCTTTAAAATAATCAAATGTCAAGTTTAAAATAATATTATTATTATTATTATTAAAGAATAAAACAATTTAGAATAAAAATAATTTGCTTAGCAGTATAATATAAATGCAAAAAATTACTGTTTATCCTTCGCTTCATATTTATGTATTGCATGCAACTGCGCTTATTAAATAATTACTATATATATATATATATATATTTTTTTTTTTATTTCTTACATAGATCTATGTAATTATGTTCTCTCTCTCTCTCTCTCTCTCTCTCTCTCTTTCTCTCTCACTTGCAAGTTTTTTGTGTGCGTATATTATAAAATCCATTGGAAGAAAGTAATTTAAATTGTAAATTAACTAAGTAAATTTTCTTCTCAAGCAAAGATAGTACATACTTATTTGTCAAGTAAAAGAAGATTAAAAGAAGATCATTTTTTGTTTGAGAAATACTTAATGAATGTCGTACGAATGTAAATGTAGTAGATACTTTTGTATCTTTTTAGATTTTTCTTTTATTTAAATACAAGCTTTACGTAAATTATTCAAACCTTAGCTTAATTATTTCTTTACAAGTTGTTAAATACGTAAATTGATTTCATTAAAACCAGTAGATCAGGAAAAAATCATGAAATCAAATGTACACCTTGAAAGGTTTTAATTAATGATCGTTAATTAATTACTGGCTAAATTCGTATCAATTCATTAGTTATGAATATCAATTTCGTCATTATCAAATATGGGTACGTTCGGATAATTTTTATCGCGTATATTGATTGTGCATTAAATAAAATAATAAATAACATTCGAGAATTGTAACGTCAATGCGAGATTACGTTTTGTGTAGATTTAATTGTATATACAATTGCACATACAATTGCATACTGTGTCATATGGTCGATAACGTCAACCTTTCACCTTTCATTTGATTTCTCTCTCTTTCGACGTGACATTTTGTAACTTTTCTTGTTTTTTTTTTTTTTTCTTCAAATAAAAATATTCTTTGAGAAGGTCCAGTTTAGCCGATATCTCTTACGTGATACGTTATTTTATATCTAGTAGGTAATATATTACTGTGACACACCTTGCGAGGAAATCCATTGACTTTAAAGTAGTAGGTTTTATCACAATTTCAAGTTTATGACGAAATATGATCGGTTTATAAAGTACAGGCAATTCGATAAAATTACAAATCTTTTCTTTTCTATTCCTTGTTTTCTTTCATCTTCGATTTTCGATCGAATAGAGTCAAAGAAATCTATCATATGTGAAAAGGAAAATTGTAAAGTTGGAAAAATATGTTAGGACGTAGTCGAGATAGAAAGTTTAGTAAATTGCATTGATTCTTACGTTGATTTGCATCGATTCATAACCACTTACATCCTGCACGACGCAAGTTCTTCAAATCAAACGAATGAAGAAGAAACTTTCTATCGAATTAATTCTCCTTTGATACTCCTCTTGAAACGTTCGAAATATATAGGCCACATTTTTCTATTTTAACAAGTAGAAATAAAAAATAAATAAATAAGATAAGCAATTCTCGTTTTATCGCTTAGAATTTTGTCAAATATTTATCTTATATTATCGTCTAAAATAAATGACCCACTTTTACGAACTCGTCCTTCTAATTGAACCCTCAATTAAATGCCATGGTGAGGAGAAAAAGATGATTGCATAAAAAAAGGTTCATTAATATTTCATTACGGAAGAAAAAAGTCTCGGGTAGGGAAAAGAATTTCGTATCGTATGAGAATATACGAATATGTGGAAGATTACTTGGAGGATCTTTTTCTATATCATATTTTCAAAAGAAATAATAAAACGCGATCATAATATTTTTCTTCGTCCTTTATTAATTTTTGTTTTCTTTTGTTTTTCTCTCTCTTCTTATAATTTCTTGTTAGATTATTTTCTCTTCAGCTGGCGATTGTCACGTTATCAAGAGAGGGTGAAAAAAAAGAGAGAGAGAGAGAGAGAGAAAGCTTAAGAAGAAGCCTTCGGGGATTCAAGGACATCGAGAGCGAGTCACCCTCTTGGTAACAAGGAAATAATAGCAAATGAAAATATAACATATCGGACGTGTCACTCCATCGCAGTGCATCCTGTAACCTCGTGAGCAAACCCTATAGCCCTTAGATTCACTAAACTTTCCAAATCACTTGAGGTTAGAGTACGAAAGTGTATGTGTGTGTGTGTGTTTGTGTGTGTGTCTGTGTACATATTTGAAAAGAGAGAGAAAGAGAAAACCTTATGTTTCGTCGATGATAGTTCGAGTAATTGAATTATTGCAAGAAGTGTATAAAGTCGTAGAAGAATTATAGAAGTTGACTCAGCAAGGGTTGTATTTCCGGTGTTGCAGGATGCACGCGGTTGGATTGCATTCGGCGCTGGCCATCAAGCGTCAAAGAAAGCGTCGGGATGAGCAACGTCGTGCTCGTGAGCGCCGTTATAGCGCCCAATCGGGTGAGAGTGGGCTGACATCGCCGAGAGCGTCGACCGGTTCCCTGGACCATCATCCAAGACACCATAAAGGAGCACACCCTAATCGCGCCGCGGGACAAGGCATGTTGGATACAAAGGTGGTCACTTCTATTGGGATGCTCCACATCGGAGTGGTCTTTTTAGTTTTGGGAGCATTCTTACTGATGAGCGGTCTTCTGCCCGGTGATTTGGCTCACTGGAGTAGCGAACGCTCCGGCGGTTGGTGGAATGAGTTGGTCGCTGTTGGTCTCTTCGCCATTTTAGTTGGCATCTTTTTGATCATTCTCAATCGTTTAATTGCAAGGAAGGAAGAAAACGATCTCGAGGAATACGTTCAAAGACAATTAACCAGGTCCAGGTCAGGGCATCGATTAGAAAGAGATGTCGAAACTGGTGGACTTACCACCAGACACGCCAGAAGGGTCAAACAGATGCAGCAGATACCGTCCGTTGGATCGATCACGACTGAAGATGAAAAGAACTCGGAAAACTCTCCACCGAAGAGCCCTCCACCGGCTTACTCTCCGCCACCGGTTATCAACGGCGATAATCAAAACGTACAGTCGACTCTCTTTCTCGAACAAATCACCGAAGAAGAAATCATCAGCGATCGAGTTGAAACGTCGACTACCAACAGCCTCAGTCCTGGTTCACCTAGCGAGACGAGAGAACTTTTACAAAATCCTAAATATTCCAAGCAAAATGGAAACCCTCAACAAGCTCATAGATCTCTTTACGTCTCGAGAATTTAGATGTCAAAGAAGCTCTTACTTCCTTTCAAATCGCGAATTAAATGTCAATCGCTTTTGGGCTTTTAAACAAGTCCCCTAACTAACGTTTGCGCGTCGAAAAATCTAACATGATCTATTATAACGTCTATCACCATCCTTGGCATATCTTAGACAATTTCTAATCTAATCCTTGGTGACAGGAATAAACGCTTCATTATCGTTGTCTCCTGATTCCAAAATTCGGACTATTTATCTTCGTTGAAAATCATTATTTAATCCTTTCGTTTAACAAAGGATAATATTGTTATTATACATTCCAATGAGAGATGATACGAACGTCAAAATGATTATCGATATATATATATAGAGAGAGAGAGGAACGATTCTCCAACGATTTTCCAACGATTTTCCAACGATTTTGCAACATCAATGATGTTCAGAAGGAAAGTTTGTAATTTTGCTTCCGACGATCATTTACGGTGATCGTATTATAAACGTCGTGCTTTGCGTGTTGCCGACACGAATTTCCATCAACGACTAGAAGGTATACTCTGTCAAATTAAGCTCGGTATTACGCTAGGAGTTAGAAATTTCTGCTTTGAATCGAATAGGCTTGTTATATCGATTTAATCCTTTAACCACGCAGACCTGTTATCCATAACATTATCCGTTATAACATTAGTTTCGGTTTACGAAGGACGTCGTTCTACAAACCAAATTTATTTAACAAAAAAACTCGCAAACGAACTAACACCTCAAACATATTATTTTTACGTTTCTTTAAATTATCTAGCAGACAACAAGTATAAACTAACTTTTGTCATTACTTTATTCTACTAAACACTGCCTGTTCACATTTCAATTACACTCAAACTTGAGTTTATTAATTAAATGTTCCTATTTTATAAAATTCGTTAGAACCTTCAACAGCACTTATGTGATTAAAACGATCACGAACTACGACTGGTGGTGTAAATTTTCAAGTTTGTTCGTTTTCAAAATGAAAAATATTGAACGCGATCGGGACAACAGAATTTCCAGTGAAAATACTATAATTGCGTATGAGCAAATCGAAAATGGAAAAATAATTCGTAATATAATTCTGGACGTTCGTTATTTGGAAAATGTATTCGTGATCAATACGATACTTAAATCTTTAAAAGATTATTAATAATTAAAACATTCCTTTCTGCGATTCTAATGATTGTTTTGACGCGTTGTCTATATTTTTTCTAAGTTAGGAAAAATATATCATTCGTCTAATATATCTGATCATTTATGTCGATCATGATTTATAAAGGTTTTCTTTGAATCACGAAAGAACGTGGAAATTAGCGATGTAACAATCATGTACAATCAAATTTACACATCGTCATTCTACTCATAAACAAATGAAACAGCTCGATTTTACAAAATATTTGTAAATATTCGACAGGTGTTTAAGAATGTGAAATAATCGATAGAATATCTTTTATACGTGGAGATAAATGAAAGACAAGAAAAAAAGATCAAACAAATTTACTTATGCACATACATACATATATACATATATATTATATACGTACAATTACTATGATTCAATTAATGTTTATTTTATAAATGTTGGTTCTTTTCTTTTTTTTATGTCAATATGCATTCCATTAAACTTAACTAATTCCATCGAATTTGAATATTATTTCGATCAATGCGTTTGAGATTTTTATTATTTTTGGTGAGAACAGAGATTTATTGTTTTTTTCTTTTCTTTTCTCTTTTTTTTTAGTTGGCACAATAATTCTATCAAGTTTAATCGAAAGTGAGAAAAATCGTTTTGGATCAAAACGATCTGGTTTCTAGATCGTTTATCGCCTACGATTGATAGGTAATCGTACTTTCGTCCAATTAATGCCTTCGAATAGGCTGTATATCTTTTTCAATGTGAATTAAGATGTTTAAGACGTCAAATGATAACTAATAGAAATGTGAAACTAAAAAAAATTGTAAAAAAAAAAAGAAAAATATCAAAAAAAAAAAAAGACAAGAAACGAAATAAAAATGTGTGTGTCTCTGTCGTATGATAAAAACTAATTGTTAAGGAGTTGAAAAGAGGTAAGATAATAAACCTCTCGATAAGATGTTTACAGATAAATATGATGAAAGTAGAGTTTGAAGAATGACGTAATGAGACTCGTACATTTAATTACGTACTTGGCAGCATTTACGTGGCAGATATTACGTCAATCAGAATGGAATGTTTTATTAAATATAATAAAATAAAGTGAGCGTGTTAAAGAGAGAAAAGTAATGAAGTGAAAAGAAAAAAATCTATAAAATTATAATAAAAAAAAAAAATAATAAAAAAATAAAAAAATAAAAAAATAAAAAAAAATAAATAAAAAACAAAACGGAGAAAACGAATAATTCAAGGACCAAGATAAATTAATTCGAAGCAAACGTTATAGAGATAAAGCATGAAGGAAAGGATAAACAGTGGAGGAAAAAAAGAATAAATGAAAAAAAAAAAGATTATTACCATTAGCGATTACGATCGTTGAGATAAAGAATTATTAGCGAGCGGCATATCGGCGGACTCTTCGCGTGTTCATTCAACAATAAGAGGAAAAAAGCAACTAACGCGACGAGAGAAAGAGATACATATGAACTAATTATTACTAATCGTAACTCGTAATACTAATCGTATTATCAACGCGAACATACTCATTAATCTGTAAACATTTCAAATACGAACGTCTCAATGTTCGATCCAGTATCAGTCATTGCGCTTGCATTCTCTTTTACGTTTTTTTAACAAATTACATGAACATTTCGATCGATATTTATCTATCACAATCGATCGAATCAATGTTTTGACCACCTTGGGGACGTCCATGAAAAAAATTAAATAAAACACATACACAAAAATTATTAAAATATAAAAAAGAAATATATATATAAATAATCAGCCAAAAATATTCTGCCTAGGAATCGTCAGGATTATTTCTACCGAATGATGATGATAGGTCGATCGAAATAAAATTAAAAGAAAAATAAAAGAGAAGAGAAATATAATAAATGTCTCTTTTTGCTCGTTTTATTATCGATTGGTCGGGATTCCTATCGAGAATTTATTCTTACGTCAGAAACGTAATAAATATCTACTATCTTCGGCTCGATGTCAATATCTTCTTCTTCTTCTTCTTCTTCTTCTTCTTCTTCTTCTTTTTGGAAAGAGAGAGAAAGAGAAAAAGAGAGAACGAGAGAACGAGAGAGAAAGGGAAAGGAATATAAAATATTCGAATCGATGAAGAATTGAACGCATGAGAATGTCCCTTCGGTGAATCCGAGTTACGTGGTGACGCAAATCTATGGGGGGTATTCTATCGTTTGGTCATACAGTCGAATAACAGTATTTCGTAGAACACCCTCGACGTCCAGTGACTGATGGTGCGCGTTAATCTTAAGCTAGATGATAATTTTAATATATGCTATATATTCCATTTTATAATACCCTCGAGTGTTTACGTATTATATAATACGCTAGTCATAAATTAAACCAAAAGAAAAGACAACAAAAATGACTTTCGGAAACGATCCGATTCGCACAGAGACCAACTTAGATTGAATATTTTATTTTTTTTTTTTTTTTCTTTTTCATTCCCCGTTATTGGAATTTTATAATTTCGTCCTTCTCTTTTTTTTTTCTTCGATAAATACGACATTAGCAAAAAATTCGAATTATTTTCTCATTTATTCCGTTTATCTGTTTTAATTTCGGATCGTTTTCTGACGTCTTATGTTAGAGAGTAAGAATATTGCCATGCTCGGGCGCTACCATTCTGTGATCCAATGAAAAAAAAATGAACAAGAAAAATTACACACACACACACACACACACCCAAGATAAAAAGTAGAAAAAAAGAATTAATTAAAATTCGCATGAAAGGGAAACGTGTTTAAAGGAATAAAAGATGAATGAAAAGAAGAAACGTTCTTTCGAAGAATCTTACTCTGTAAATATTTAAATGTATATATTATACATTTACATATATATTATATTACATTATATTATATTATATTATATTATATATTATACTATATTATTATACACCTGTACCTTTTTTAATTGAGACACTCTTATACATTTATTAGAGATAACGTGTCTTCACTTTTTGCATTCCGCGCAATTCCAATTTTTGTACGCTCTTGCAAAGATCGACGAGGGAATGTTATTTCATCTAATTGTACATGAAATTGATAAGAGAACTAATTGATAGGAGAACGCGTATGCAACAAAGAGAGAAAGAGAGAGAGAGAGAGAGAGAGAGAGAGAGAAAAGTAGAGTGAAAGAGAAAAACAAATATGGATGCATCTTTTAAGATCATACAATTGAGTGAAAGTGCCTTTCACGATGTGTTTCGTATTTTTTTTCTAGCTTTTCGACGTCAATGGGAAGCAATTTAATTTTGTTCGTTTATTTTTTAATTTGTCGCATATTAATTTTTGCATCGAAAAAAAGGGCAACAATAATAATAATAATAATAATATATATAATTTGTTTTACGAGTTATAATTAAAAATCTACGTTTAAAGAAGCAGTTATACTTGTGCATGTATGTATGTATGTATAATACTTCATTATTTTTTCTTAAATACATATTTATATAGTGTAATCATACAATTATGCATCCCTGGTGACTTTGAACACGTTCTGCTTTTTTATTTCTCTCCCTGTATTTTTTTTTGTTTCTTTTGTTTGTTCCTTTTTCAACAGAGTCGAGAGCTACTTCTTCTATTCCCACGACCGAAAAGCTAACATTGCAAAACTAATTTTTAAGTGGCGCGCGTACTACTTCTGTACTTCGCTCTTTTTGTGGATTAGTTTAGAGACAACAGAAAGAGTTGAGAAGTGAAATAAGAAATAAGAAGATAATGTAAAAGAAAAAAAAGATAGCATTGGAAAAAGGGGGAAAAAAACACAATGGTAATTACTGTTTATCTATACTACACTAACTGTACTTGTCCCTCTCCGATCAAAACCGTGCTCCAATTCTATACAAGTTGACAAACTTTTTTATCGCTGTATATTATTAAAAAGAGAGTGATTTTTTAAATGCACAACAAATACTGTGTATATATATATATATACACACATTAACATATAAATAAAATATATTTATTAGATTATTGCATAATTTGTATCGCATTTCTTATGTTTAGGTCAGAATATTACACGTCTAATTATCCATTGCAGGTGCAGATATTTGTTTGAATTCTTCAAATTAAATCATTGATGAAAAAAATGCAATAATCTAATATATCGTTTAGCGATTGGTGAATATACCTGTATCCTATTTTTAATTTATGATCGATAAATTGAACCGATTCGTCGGTACGAGGTACAGGTGTATTCAAAGAAAAAAAAATAAATAAGTGGTACAATTTATTTACATTACCACGTAACTACTGTTAGCCTCGATTTAACGAAGAGACGAAAAGAAAAGAGAGGAAAAAGAACAAAAAAAAAAACAGAAAAAAAAAGAAAAAATACTTTTTAGAGAATACGAAGCTTCGAGGCTTTCTAATTAAAATATAATACAAATTTACGAATAGTCGAAAAAGGCATATTTCGGTTGTTAAAACGATCTTGAAAATTGACATACCGAAACACGATAATAAATGACTTTTTTTTTTTGAATGAGAGAACTTATAGATCTTTGTGTGCGAGTATGCTTATGTGTGATATATATGTATATCTGTGCGTTTGTTTTAAGAGAGTTGGGGGGAAAGGGGTGCAAGAGAAGGAGTGCGTAAGAAAACTACGAAACGGAAAAAAAATAGCTTAGATTATACATGAAAATGTAGATATTACACAGAAGCGATTACGATAAGCATCTTGTTGAAGAGACTAAACTGCGTTATTATTATTATTCCAACGTTAAGTTCTTCTATATTGGAATTATTAGAAGATAAAACAGAACCATCGCGTAGGATAAATCGATCGACGTCATGTGCCGTTGACCTCGAGAGTTCATGTAGTGTTCATGTAATGTTCATGCAGTTGCATACGTAGCTACGTAAGTACTACATGCATATATGCGTGTTGCTTAAAGCATCAGAATCACACGGTAACGGTACGATGATCGTCTCGTCTCGTCTCGTCTCGTCTCTGACCCGATTATACCTTTACAAAGGATTTATATCACGCGCGAGTTTCTCATTTAATCGAGATGTTGGACCATTGTCAAGGATGATTACAGAGGACGTACTTAAAACAATCATCGCTACGATCGTTCACTACTTATTTATTTGATTTTATTTTATTCTTTTTCCTTTTCAATATTTTACGAACCAGGAAAAAAAAACAGAGAGATATTTTTTCCATATTTTTTTAATACAATGCTAGAAGATTTTTGCGTTTCGGGAATATGATGCAGATGATGATGCTTTGAAAATCGTTGACTTAGAAAGAGAGCTTTTATTTTGCTAGATTAGAAAGAAAAAATAGAAATGTTTGTTCTCGTGCATTTGGTACACAACGATCCATCGATCCTCGAAGAAATTCAGGAGATAGTTATCTTTCTCTCTTTCTCTCTCTTTCCCTGTATCATCCACCATTTTGTCTTTTCTCGTTGTTTCGAGGTGAACCGGCTAAAGGCTATTCTTCGAAAATTAAGGACAAAGTTTCCGAGCCGCTTGCGACGGTGCTTGCGACGGTGCTTGCGACGATGCTTGCTAGGGGGAAAAATAATATAAAAATAACAATCTCGCGTTTGGGAAGTTCGTCGATGAAGATTACTGCATATAATGCTCGATCAGACGTTGTTTTTTTATTTTCCAGCAGTTCTTTTTTTGGATTTCCAAGTTGTTCTTCGTCGACGAAAGCAATATGTCTTCGAGATTGTTAGTAAAAGTCCGATAATGAGAAGCCGATAAAAAAAAAAAACAACAACAACACAACAAAGTTATGAAAGAAAAAGTGATTTAAAGGAAGACGTGTCAAACAAACGTGTTCAATTATTTCGATACGATTAATCTTTATGATTTATTTAGAATCGTGATCGATCGTGCATTGCCAACTAATTTCTTGCGCGATGAGTTTGCTCCTTTTCCTCAGATTAGACTCAATTTGTTTGACACAATTTTCTTTATAAATGCATTTCTAATGTATGTACTTTATTCGAGAAGAATAAAATTCATCGAACGATTTGCTATTTCGTAGTTTTAAGATTATTGAAAATATCGTAGCGAGAAAGAACGAATGGATTGCATGAAATGATTAAAAAAAGGGAGGACCGATCAGCGAGCCGTAACGATCGTAATCATTCTCATAGTTACTAAAATATTATCACATCACTATTTGCAATTTACTGCTACCTACAATTATTACTATACGACTAGCAACTAATAAGCTTTCTTATGGCATTTCTCTATTGTACCACTTATACATTTGACGCACGACTTTTTCGAAAATAAATCTTTATGAAACGCTCCATTGTTTTGTAATTTGGTAGTTCTTTCTATTGATCCAACGAGATCCATGCATTTTCCTTTATGTTTATTGTATATTATGACACCTCTTCCTCGATAGGTTTATTTTATTGTCAAATAAATTAGTTGTAAAGTGTATCTCTATAAACGCAACGTTCTACCTTCGGGATATAATTTGAAAGATTAAATTGTCTGGAGGCTTAATTCTCGATTAATTGTTGTTTACCGAGCGATAGGCTGATAAGCTTCAATTCGATCTACCTTCTCTATTACCTCTTTCACATATCCGACGACCTCATCTACCAATTTTCCTCTGCCTTGTTCCATAACACATTCCAGAATCTACTACGTTTATAATTCGATCGAACCTTCGTTACGTACTCGATCTAACGCAAAGAAATGAAATTATATTTGAAATCTAGAACGAACTAAGCGAATTATAGTTTGGCTGAACGGTTAAAGTCTTCTTTAACGTCGACGTTAATCCGTGTCAGGTTGGCTATTTAGAGACATCTAACGTATTCAAAACTGTCTCTTCATTTTCTAAGTCAATGCTCCTGGGAAATAATCAATCTCAACGGGATTTTATATTTCAAATCTATAATCGAGAAAAAGAACATTTATTTTTTAGAAGATTTGTTTTTTTCTATCGTTGAGAATGTTGGTCCAACGGAAAAATTAATAGAAAAAATAGAAGAAAATAAGGTCAACCATTTATTTTTCTTCATTTTCTCTATCCTAGTTTTGATTGCAATTTCCTTCAGCTTTTATCGATAATACAAGGCTACCTAGTATCGACAATTAGGGGAAATTGCACAGATTACCGTTTAAAAGACCAGTAATGGAGAATACTTTAAATTTAAATAAAAAAAAAAAAATGTTAACTTTAAGTCCATTTTATTTCTTGTCAATGCTGTAGAAATGAATTTTTCTTTTGTTTGTATTAAATATTGTTACGTATTTTTATTATTAAAAATAGATACCATCGCATCATATTCTCTTTTTTAATCACATTTCCAGACTGAAGTTGTCATAGCCGTATCTTGCTAAAGGAAAGTAGTTTACCTTTTAAATGTAAACATTCACGTGAAACTTGAGTTCATTTTTAAAGCTGGTATCTGAAAGAAACGAAATGGTAACAAGGTATAACACAAGACTTGCTTGTCTCTCTTTCGTATTTCCGTATTTTCAAAAACCAAGAAGGTATCTCACAAATTTCCTTCGCACAGTTCTACAGTTTAAATAAACGAGTTGGTTCAAACATAATTGCTACAAGGATCTCAAGTTTCACTTCGTTTATTCTTATTGAAAACTAATTCGTTTAATGTTTTATTTATAATATTATAGAAAGAGAGAGAGAGAGAGAGACAAAATTGCAAAAGTGAAAAAATCAAGAATAGACAATACCTTGTTCTGAATAATTCATTTATACTTGCACTTTTAAGTCTACTACAATACATACTTGAGTTGTATTTACATTTTGTGAAGATTACTCTTTCGAAATCTTAAATCTCTTGCGATGACAGGATTCATTGTTTAAAAGAACCTAAACTATAATATTCTGGGGTACATTGTAGAAAGGTACATTGTCTTCTGAGAAGCAACAGCCTTCAGGAATGAACACTTCAAATGTATAGATGTGTGCTCTAGGTATATACAAAGTGTTTCAAGATATGTGGACTCATAGAATTCGTACTTTTACATTATATAGTCATTTTGGTATTTAACAAGGAATCAGTAAATTTATGCGAATGATTGAAAAACAAAAGCACAGCTATAATAGGAAATTTTATTTTATTTCAACGTACTAAAATCATCCCTGAAATTATATTCGTATATTTTAAAACACCCTATGTACATCTATGTACACTTTTATCCCCTCGGAGTCGGTTTACTCGTTCCAAATCTTTTTTTATGACGTTTTACGAGCGGTAAATAAGAGATCTTCGCACGATTTTCTGGGTAGGGTAGCTAGTCGTGAATTTGACTTTGGTTGAAAGGACTGATCATAAAAAAAAGAGAAAACCAATATGAATTGATCATAAATAGTATCTCCTACTTTCGTATATTTTTTGTTCTATTTTTTCGTAGTTGTGTCGATTTAGCGTCGAGACGATTAAAGCTAGCTGGCTTTAGTTTTAGATATATTTCCTTTCTAGATGGCTACGTTACAGAAGCATGGTATAGTCACTTGTGTCCTACTTTAACGTAACGTAAGTTTACTAATCGAGAAAATCGCTCTTGTGACAAACACAATCAAAATGTACCTAATTTTTCTATATAATTAATAGAATTTTGCTAGAAAATCTAGAAATGTCCAATGACTCGCTTCAATATAAATACTACGATACATTTATTTAAAGTCATGAACGAATCCCCGTTCTTCCTATCGATTGATCTTCTTTGCTACTATTCCAGGAAGATGCTAAAGCATGACTCATACCCACTTCCGTGGCGTGTATCCAGCATGCTGCCATTTTCTTAGTGATTCATATAGTAATATTGTTATACTTACCGGTGAACTTTACACAATTAATCCATCAATACCACCATCACGATCGTTCACACAATTTCTAGAAAAATATACCATGTAATATAACTTTTACATGTTTTCATTAAAATAATAAATAAATAAAGGTAACCGTGTAAAAGGTTAAAACGTTATACGAATGCGTAGGCGTGTATACGAGAAATCAGATTTTAATTATTATCGGGGAAGGAAAATTGTGTTGGAAACACAATACGTATGGAAAATTAATTACTTTGTTAATAATGTTTTTAATGCAAAAAAAGAAAGATTATAAAATATTATCAAAAGAAAGTATTATTTCAATGATTTTACTTTTATAGTTTGACATTTAATTTGATTAAACAACGCCTAATGGAGATTTTCTTTTTTAGATTATAAAAATAAATGTTAATACTATTTCTATGGAGACTCGGTAAATGTTCTCTGCGAATATTAATAAAATAACAATAAAGAGAATATTGATAAATGTATATTTGTTAAATCCTGTATCATTCGAACTTCATATCGTATTTCATATGCACATACCCATAGTTCATGCAAATTCAATATTGCAATAGTTCTAATGAAATATCTTTGAATATATTTTACTCTTCCACTTGTTATCCCCGATGTTACGTTGGAACTGAAAGCTTGCATATAAAAGAACAAACAAATAATAATACTCATAATTGTTTCAATAAAATCGAGTTATTTTATTTTAACAGTTAAAATCATATTACTTCATTTTTCAAGTTTTATAAATCCATTGAAATAATCGTTTAATTTATACTAACAATAGAGACAATGATAGAATACAAAATGGTGATCAAGTTTTATGCTAAGAACGGATGACAGGGTAAGATTTAGATGTGGATGGAAATAGGAAGGAAGAAAGAAAGTTTCAGATGCAAAACTGTACGGAAGCTAAATAGTTTAAGGTGATAATCGATATTCCCTGTTTCTTCCTTTTCTACCAAACGTCAGGAACTTTAGGTTGCAATTGTGCAGAGTCCTCTCTCTCTCTCTCTCTCTCTCTTGTTAATGGAAAACGTGTATAGTATTATTAGAGAAAAGAGAAGGACGTGATTTGAAGGATTTCGATAGAAGGTTGTTGGTTCCCTTTTATTTGAGGGTGCAGCAGTACCCCCATGAAAGCTTTCGCGAACGGTTGCTTTCGAGCACCCAGGGGAGCCTGTCTCTGGCAAAGACTGGATATAGTGACGTATCGACCGGTGGGGTCACAAGAGGTCACCAAAGTTCATACCGTCTCGCGGTTCACGAACCCACCGACGAAACTACCCTGCGCGTTTCCGCTTCTCGTTAAAGCCAACATTTCATTGTACGACTTTTCTCTATACACTGATGATCATAACAAACGAGAGCAACTTTTTCATAAGGGCAGGTATGTATGTAAAAAATAGTCGACGATTATCGCTAAAGATATAACATTGCGATACAATCATTTTCTTTTTTATTTCCTTCTTGCAACATTGTCGTCGTGCCTGAATAGGGTTCATTCCTTTATTCTGATCATTTTATTTTTAACTCAAATTTTCTTATCGAGATTTTTCTTTCTTTTACATTTTCGACATGTTGCTTGTTATACAATATAAGTTTGTATTGTATCGGCATATCTAGGTCCTTCGAACGATTAAACGGTCATACGATAGGGTCTATAGAATCGTGTTTATATTTATCGAGGCGATATAAGAATATTTTATATTAACAAAATATTTGAATATATTTAGAAAATCGTGTTTCTCCTGTTTATCTTTCTTGTAAAAATCGATTATCACTGACGTCATCGTCCTTACATCTCGATGATAACAGTTCAACACTTTGAATAAGTTATTTCACACCGACGATACGATTGTAAAGCAATTACGATTTACTTCGTTGCACTATCAATCTCTCTGTCAGATAGTTAGATAGTCACTTGTCATTCCGATAATTGTATCCAAATCGTACACGCGCGTACTTATACGGAGTTTACCATTGACAAATGTGAAAATTAGAATCATCGATGGACCGATTAATATTTATTTTCTATCCAATAATCGACGTATTACTAATTGACAATTAATCTCGTTCCGAATTTGTATAAATGAATAACATTATCAGAAGTTTAAACTCGATAAAGAAAAACCTGGTGAGGAAAAAATGTAGCAAAGTAGGATTAAAAAATTGTCAATTGAAATGATTCATTTCCGCTTTGACTTTTCTTTCTCATTTTGAAATGACAGATGTTTGCATCAGCTTCTTTTTATACTACTAGAAAAAAAAAAAAAGAAAAAGAAAAAGTATGCAGATCGATTAGCGTTGATAAGTGTAATTATTGTGGAATGGCATGTTTGCAGCATGATCGGGGCCATGCCAGCAGTGGCTGTACGCCATGAACGCAGGAGACAAGAAAAGAGGCTAAAACGACCGAGTCAGCTTTATTTGGGTGGCCAATGGATGCCACCCCTTCAAGGTTCACCACCTACACCTAGTCCCCACGGACACAATAGTCATCTAGATCCGCTTCCAGAGCTTTATCTTTGCGGCAAGGTAATCTACGTTTTAATCTTTCACTACGAGGACATTTCCGTTTTCTCTTGACCTATTTTCAAATCTTCATTTTTATTTTTTTTTCTTCCTTGGAAACATTTTTCCTCCGGCAAACGACCTCGAGGTCGTTCAACTGTTACTGCGAAGCGTACGAACAAAAGTTCTTTTTTAACGTTGTCATGCAGATTGCTTTTAATAATTAACAATTGTTTAAATTAACTTGTATTTAATTAACGGCAAAGGATTAAAAATGTCCATTAAATAGCTCATTCGAAAAATCATTTTGAGTAAAAGTAGTTGTGTTATATTTAACGGACATGCGAGGTGAAATCATTCTATAGACTTTGAAACGTAACAACTTAAGATACTTTATTATATTATTACAATCGATAAACTAAGAACTTTTATCAATATTTTCGAACCACGTCAGATTTCAATGAAAAAACAAATATTTCAAGATACACCCTGTTGGACCTTGAGATTTTCCGATAGTTTGATGATGCAATTAAAATCTTCTCTCAAATTTGCTAGATAGTCTAACAATGTCGTTATTCGCAGATATCCGGTTTGCACGCAGTCGTGGTGTGTCTGTTGTTGGGTGCAGTGGTACTCGTGGTTGGTCTTGTCCAACTTGCCCCGGGGGCAACGACCACAGACCACAGACTCGCTTTACTCATCGCAGGCGCCACTTTGCTCTTACTGGGTAAGTTTATCTTTTCCTCTCAAGATTTATCTTTAACAAAGTTAGAAAAAGAAGAAAATATATTTGAATGAACCCTTTCGGTACTACCAAAAGTTAAGATCATTTTTCAAAAGAAATGTATAGTATATTGGGAATAGGATATTTTATTATATAATATTATTTTTACTTTTTTTCTAATTTAAATAAATAATTAGAAAAAAATGCGCGTCTGTAGGAGTGCAACCCTTCAGACACATTTGAAAATGTTGCTTGCGAGTGTCATCTACTGGGACGGAATTTTTTTTCTGCATAAACTGTTTATACACGTATGTATTACGGGTTGCCAATCTTTCGGGCAGAAAAAAATTCCGTCCCAATAGATGGCGCTCGCAAGCAACATTTTCAAGTGTGTCTGAAAGGTTGCATCCCTACAGGCGCGCATTTTTCTAATTATTTATTTAATAACTAGAAAATTCAAAGAATAAATAAAAAGTTTGTAACTTTTAGGTATCATCTTGGCTGCCGTGAGATGTTACGTCCTACATTGCGTTCCTTTACCAGCGGATTCGCCCATAGCCACTCCCCTTCCTCCATCAACAAACGAGCACAATCATCAGGCAATGGTATCGAGAGGTACCTTAGACCTTCTAGTCGGTCATCAGAACCAACCGGAGACCGACGCTCTTATGCGCACCGAGCAACAACAAGAGCAGCAACAACAACATCAGCAACAACAGTATCAACATTATCATCATCATCATCAACATCACGGTAACCATAAGAAGAAGCGTAGCTCTCAAAGCTCTTATCCGGATGAAGCCTAATCTTTTGTATCATTTTGATGCGCGAATCGGAGAGTAAAAGAGAAAGAAAGATAGATAAAGAATAAGAGAGAGAGAGAGAGAGAGAGAGAGAGAGAGAGAGAGAGAGGGAGAGAGTGAGAAAGGGGGAGATGAGGTAGAAAAAGAAGATAATAAGGAACAAGGAAGAAAGGGAAGAAAGAAAATAAATGAACACAAAATCGTGGGTATGTTTGAGAGAGAAAGAGAATGTATGAAAGAAAACTCCGGTATGGTTAGAAAGTAATAGAAGGAAATCCGTCGAGAAGCCGCAATGTCTCTTATGATGCCCTGTATATGTACATTATACTCGATTCTTTTATCTTTTGTAACTTTCTATATATAAATAATGCAAATACATATTATACACACACACATATATATATATACATAATATTATACTATACATATTATACATATACGTATTATGTACCGTGTACTCAGTAATTAAATGTTACTGAAGAAAGTGCACTTTTCTGTAATGTGTATGGGGTAGTAGTACTTGTTCTGTCAAGTTATTACAGATTAATCAGACTTATTTCTAATATATTTAAATAATTAATATATGGAAAATGATGAATTAAAAAATTGAAGAAATTGATAAATTTGGAAGAATTTGGAGATTGTTCAATTCAAAACACCCTATGCATTATTAACGAAAGAGCTCGTTACCATTATAAAAGACTAAAATTTGTTCTGACAAAACTGATGAAATTTCTGTACAAAAAAGTGTTATATGTATATACATACATGCATACATACACAAATATATATATATAAATATAAATATAAATATAAATATAAATATGTAGAGTAGAGACGCATATATAACAAATGGTGAAACAAATAATAATTCCTCTCTGCACGAATATTTACAACATATTGCATACGTTAGACGGGAAAAAAATGGAACAATGAATGAAGAATATCTCGGTCTGACAAGATAGAAGAAAAAAAAAGATAAAATATTACAAAAGAGCGAGGAAGAAGGAAAGAATAGGAAATGAAAAATAAGATGGAGATTGGGCGGAATAATTGGTGAATAAATTCAATGTGATTTTATGTGCCAATTTTGAAAACCAATATACCATAAATATTTGATAACAATCCATAATACTTTTCTTTCTACCGAGCTCGATTGTTGAAAAAATACATACATTGTCAAAAGAATTACGTACGTAATTTTTAAACCTCTAAATCTGTAAAAGATAAGAAATCGTTTATCCCGTCTATCATTAAATAAATAATTCATTCCTCTGTCTTTCGAAATAAGTACAATTTGAAAGGAACAATCGATCGTCACTTTAACTATATTATTATTTGATATTACTTATTCGCGATTTATAATTATGCGAAATGTTTTTTAATTGAGAATAAAAAAGAAAGGAACAAAACGTTTGATATAATAAGCTTCTATACATACGTCCGATCTTCTAAGATTATTTATTCGCGTACGTGATACAAGCAGAAGAATCATGTGGGTGGTGTTTTTATTTTAGCGCTAAGAAAGAAGGATCAAAAATAGATGTCGATATCCACCTATTCTCGCTTTATTATTCAAACGAAACGAAGAGAATTACCAGTAACCAGTGGGGGAAAAAAAAACAACAAATTTTATGTGAAATTCTCGACACACGCATACACACACACACACACACACAATCACCTATTTACACAACATCAAACATCGCTCGAATTTTTCTAATACGAGCTTTGTATATATTATTATACTGAATGAGTGATGATATATAGGAAGATGAATGAAACGTTCGAAAAAAACGAACGAAAGTGAAAGTAAAAAAAGAAGAGGGAAAGTAGGATAAATAATTAAATTGATAAGGACAATTGGAAGAGGGATGAGGACCGTAATAATAATAATAATAATAATAAGTGTCGTTACTTTTAGCTAGGACTTTATCGATACATTTTACTCAGCACTTGCACTTTAATCTCGATGCTATTTTATCGAGGATAAGTATTTTAGCAAAATGGATAAGAAAAATGGACAAAAAACAAGTATAATAAAAACAAAGATGATGATGATGATGATGATGATGATGATGATGATGACGATGATTATAATAAATAACGATAAAGATATTATTAAAAAAATGAAAAGAAAAAAAAAACAAAAATACAAAAACAAACAAGAAAACGTGTATAAGAATTTACAGCAATCTTGCGAGCGCAGCATTATGCGAAAATCTATGTGTCTTTCGAATAAAAAAATATTTAAATTCTCTATTTACACTAGGATATTTATACTTTTAAGCAGCGAGGTGAGAAGATGGAGAAAACCAAAAAAAAAAAAAATAAATAAATCTTATTTGCCCACGTGACGGGAAGACCAAACGAGAATGATATAATATTTTATCAGGCTAGGTGTATGTGTGTACGTATTATTTATTTAATCGTCGAGAGAGTTAAACAAAATTTATCGACCCATTCGCTGACGAGATATCGATTATATAATTTTTTAAATTCCTTTGAAAATAAAGACAAAGAAATATTTCATGTGTTCGGACAACAACAAAATAATGAATAATTAATGAATTATAATTGAAATAGTCGATCTATGGTCATGCCTATCTTGAGGTACTTGCGATAGGGTCGATTAAAAAAAAAGAAGCGCTGCCAAATTCGCTTTAAAAAGAAAAAATCATTGTAATATTATTCGTGCCCTAATTGTAAGATCGATTAAAATCGTTTCGTATCTGTAAACGTAACGATATTTATCGATCGTTATTTTTTCATTGTCTTTCTTAAGTAAGAACGTAATCACCTAATACGTTGTTCGTATTTTACAAAGGAAAAACACGATGACGAAACTTTTCCCATCACGTGGGCGTACACGTTCGACTACCGTTGGGGTCCACTTAAAGTTATTACAAATTTAATGTCTAATGAACAGATATATTGTATAAGATAATTTAACGAAGCGAAACGCGCCAGATGGCAGAAATGAAATTTTTATCAGGGTTAAAATATCGTCACGTATATATTCGTCTTTCGCAGCTATTTTATTTATTTATTCTTGGTCATCTGGTGCAGTGATATAAATAAGTATAACAAATTAGAAGAAAAGGGAGAGATAGAAAAAGAAAGAGAGAGTAAGATGAAGATTGAGCATATACACTTTAACATGACGTTTAATTATAAAGCATGAGTTAACTCTTAATTTAGTATGAAATGTCTATTTAAAGATAAGAATCGATAAAAAGTAATATAATATAAGATAATATAATATAGTATAATATAATATAATATAAAAAAGTTATTTCCTAATTCGTAACCGCGATCGTTAATTTTTGATGAAAAATATTTCTCCTGGAGATTTTTCCAAAAAGAATTATCGATCTTGAACACGAAGTAAGTGGGTTTACATACTAATTAAATACATAATATATATATATATATACCTTTAGCGCTGTGGCATTTAAAAAAAAAAAAAAAACCATGGACACAGTAAAAGCTCGAACTTCCCTTTAAAAACTAACGCGTGTAAATACATAATTACATAGTATGATAATTTAAGCTCTCTAACGACAAACTTTCAATGCAATTTTCTAAAGCGCGTATTTTCCTTTTGATCCCCTTCTAATACGTTTTTATCGTTACCTTGTTCTTCGATTCAGCACGGCTACAAGCTGAAAACGTTTAGAAGAGGGTTGGAAAGGTGAACAAACGGTGCAAAACGGCCAATAATATCTAAATTCGAAATACGATTCAAACAAAATAAATAAATAAAATAAAATAAAAATAAAATAAAAACAACATAAAGAAAAACGAATTACGCTTATGAAAACGCAGCTTCTTCGAATAAAATAAACATTTCTTCCATTTTCTCTCTCTCTCTCTCTCTCGCGCGCTCTCGCCGATATTTAAATAGTAATATTAACTAACTAATAGAATTTTTTTATTTGCATTTTCTACTAATCCTAATAATTTTCTTCCATTTTTCTACACCATACTTTATGGATCGTAGTTGAGGGTCATTTGCAATCGAATTATTCTCAAACGCTTCACTATATACATACATACATACATACATACATACATACATACATACCATATTAACCTATATTATATATAATATGTAATAGCAATATTCATATATATCATATACTTTTTGCGTCCGTTTGTTTGTTTTTTTAATTAATGCAATTAACCAAGTAGAATATTAATCATTATTGTTAGTTCACTGATTGTAATAGTATCACGCTCCTGCCCAGCGTTTTCTGCGAATTAAATTCGAATATGAGTTTCAAATGACGACAAGAAAGTGTCACGAGGACTTCTACAAAATAAAAATCTACAAAATAAGTTGTGTCTATGATAAATAAATAAAATAAGCCGCGTGTGTACGTAGGTAGGTTCGTCTCTTGACAAATACTTGGATCAAATGCGACGATTAATTAATAAGACTCTTAAGAGACGTCATTTCTATTATTTGTCACATTTTCTTTTTCTTATTTAGATTTGAAATTTTGAAAAGATCAAGTAGTTCGATAGAAAATAATTTCAATTGGATTATATGCAAGTGATTTTGGAATTGAAAATCGTTGAAACGTCTCGCGAAAGATCTAAATGTATTTCTGTTAGTGAGAACTTGCTTGAGTTCGTACGCGAAATAATTAATGCGTAATAATTACAAGAGTAGAAATAAATAAATAAATAAATGAAAAATATTAGGAAGTATGTAATATGCCAAGCACAACACACAACTTCTATAGGCATCTGAACTTTCTTGAATTCTCACGTGATCTTGTAGTTTCTAAATCGTACTTCATGCGAGCCTATCTTTCTTTTCGCGAAGCATTTTTTTCTCTCTTATACATAAATAAAAAATAAAAAAATAAAATAAAATAAAAAGTATAAACCTCTTACGTTAAAACGCACAGAGTATCGGCTAAACGTGTATATGATACCCTCTTCAGGGTATTCACAAACAAACAAATGGCAACTAACAAAAAAAAAGGGTTTAAGGGTTTATTTAAGAAATAAAAGAATAGAAGAAAATGAAAAAAATGAACGTTCATATTGTGATAATAAGATACTGTTTCCCTCTGTGCCGTGGAACGATCGTAGAAACAAACTATTAAAAAAAAAAAAAAACGCGTTGCGATCGTTCAATGAATCCATAGATAACCGGTATATAATTAAAATATATACATACATATAACGAGGGAAAGTATATAAACGATTCAAGAAAGGCAATCTCTCAATCGTTATTTTTAATCATTATATACACGCATATGCAATTCTTTCGAACTAACATTCGCTGACTGGTTATACACAGGTGTACGCACGCAATGTTTTGTATATACATACATACGTATACAAATATATATACATATATATAAATATAAATAAGTTCCTCCTATTTAGTTTGGAACTCTACTCCATTAATATGAATCAGAGCTTTTTACGAATAATCAACATGGATAGCTCTGTAAGATGGATTTTAGATGATTAATTATTGTCTTATGTAATAAGTTATTAATTATAAATTTTACGTACAAGTTGTTGTCATTTGTTCCGTTTATTATCGGATAAATATATTAAATATATATATTTTTGGGATTACCTTTGTTGCAGTCAGAAAATGCAATGATAACATTACGATTTTTACATAGATTGTAAAGTGAACATGTAAGGCATACTTTCTCATGATATAATATGTACAAGTATATACGTTCGATCATTGCAAATAGGTATGATTACGACGTTGATCAAGAAGAAAGAATAAGATGGGCAAAAAAAAAAAAAAGATATACCATGTCAGTTACACGTGAATAGCCTCTCCTTAAAGAAACGCTGATGTTGTAATCCTATATGTGATTCTATAGCAAACAGCAAGTAAAAAAAAAAAGAAAGAAAAAAAAATAATAAATCAAGAAAAAACTCTACCGCTATTGTAACTTTCAGAGTTTAATAAAACGTTTTCACTAACAAACAAACAAACAAACAAAAAAACTCATTTATCGATTTAAATATTGTATCGAACAATTTTTATTCGATAGATTTCATTCGGATTATAAAAAAGAGGATTATTAAAATTGATTCATTCATCGAATTTGAAAATCATTGCGATAATTTTATTTGGCAATATTTTTCATTTATATCTCGCCCACGTGATTTTACATTTACGTCATTCATTCGAAGGCTAATCTTCCGATTGCTCGTATCCAACAATTTCCGTCTCTATTTCGAATTAAACACGTATGCATGTATATTCGAAAATTTACCCCTTACGATGCCGAATAAAATTATCGGAATTAATTAAATTTACATATAAATACATATTTGGTAAATTTTCCTATTAATTTGGTCAAATACTAATCCTTTTCATTCAAGTCCTTTTCCTTTCTGAATCTTGCAATTTTTCTTATTTCTGTTGAATTTATCAATTTTATTAATAAAATGTTAAGCATCATTCATCTCATTCCAGTAACTTTTACTTGAAAATTTGAAATAGCATCCCAGTATTTGGCGATACATCACTTTAAAGGTAATCAAAAGTTACTTCTATCCAAGTTAAATTGAATTTTTTCGTGTATATTGATAAATAGATATATCAAAAGTCTCCGCGTATACTACTATTTACGCCATCCATTTTCAAAGGAACGAAATTAACTAGTAAACAAAAAAAATTAGATTACTAACCTACGGTCGGGAATGCAACTATGTCGTTATGGATTTAATTACGTGATGGTAAAACAGAAGACAGACAATAAATTAATTTGAAAAATTTTCATTACTTTTCTTCGTCAGATGAAAAAATAGAAATGTTTCATTTTACCATCTCTATCGATTATGAAGAATGAAATAATTTCTAAATTTAAAGAAATATTTTCATTAAAAAATGAATGTAAAATATTGTGAGAAAACATGTGTCCATCAAGTAGCAAACATGGAACTTGTAAATACGAATGTGTTTGTATTTATTTTCATGAAATTTCTTGATGAAATTAGCCATCATTTCGCAATACTTCTATATACATATATATATCAGTCAGTCGATACAATTAACAGTCGTCGAGGTCGAAGGTCAGCAATCGCAGATGACCCGAGATTGTCCCTCGATTTTCTTCACCTTTCTCGGGGTGGATGGCGCTTTAGGTTGTGTCACGAACGATCCACTTGGTTGATTGAGGTCGAGCGTTCTTTCACGAACCCAACTTATTCTCTTTTATTTTGTTCGCATTGTTCCTTGCTCACCCTTTGGTCCTTCTCTTTGCATTTTCTTTACAGGAAACAGAAAGAGAAAGAAGAAAAAAAGAAAGAGAGATACCTACCTCAAATAATTCGATCGTATCATCCTAATAAATTGATAATAAATGTTAATGACGTAAAACATTATTTGATGTATCAGAAGATTTTCAGCTAAGCGTAATTGTAAATTTATAAAGCGGATTTAAACCCATATAAACTTATATTTCTCGCACGTGTGGGTGCATGAGCCCACGTGAGTAATGTGACGAATGTTTACAGTGATAGTATCAATCGCAATACTATGTACACGTGCGTGTATCACGTATGTGAGGAAAGGTTATAGGTATTCGTATGCGTTACCTGAACAAGAAGATGATTATGGTAGTGATGGTGTTGGTGTTGGTGGTGGTGGTGGTGGTGGTGGTGGTGGTGGTGGTGATGATGGTGGTGGTGGTGGTGGTGATGATGGTGGTGTATGGAGGTAGGAAAGAGGAAAAAGAAGGAGAGAGTGATGTGGGAGTGGGAAAGTAGGGGAGTAGGAGCTCGGTGTGATGGTAACTTCAACACGATGCAAGTGGGTGGTAGAAGGGTGGTTTATCGACCAGGACGCAAACCCCTAAAGGCTCAGTATTCGCGGGACCAGCACTCCGTTAAAACGGTCGTGCGCTGGACAAAGATTTTTCCGTAACATCCTCTTGTCTTACAATATTTAGCCTGTAAAAGTTAATAAACAAGAAGAAATATTCAATTAAAAATATCAAATTATAGGAGAAGATTAAAAAGTGTCCGATGCGAGTATCATCGAATTTGTAGACAGCACCTTTTTTTGGTTAAGCGCGCGATTTTCAAAAGGAATCACAACCTAGAGATAAGCTCTTGACCATCAAAGTAAGTAACATTTGAAATAATAATTAGTTGTAGTATTAATTTAGAAACTGCATCTTTCGTCGTTGGGTTATGTCAGCTGTCAGATCGAAATGTAAATAAGAGACCTTTCGAGTTGATTGACAAATGTTTAAAACAAAGAGATCAAAATATTGACGGTTAATGTTTGACTTTGTTTATGCTATCTACCCACTCGTTGCTAGAAATTGTAGCAAACGATCGCTATGGTCGCTCGCGTGCAAAACCCTTGTATATCTCTGCGCGCAGACACGCGAATCTCGTTAAAATAATTCCAAGAAGACTCCTCCTATACTTTGGAATTTTCTTCTTTCTCTTTGTTGCGTAAATTTGTATATTCTTTCGAAGAGATGCCAAATTCGATTTGTTTTTTAATCTTCTATCGTTTCCCGATCTTTTCTCAACGATCGAGTGACCCAGTTGTTGATCGCTTATTCGTCGCGGGTTCGTGAGATATTGTTGGATGACCTGTAGTGACCTATTTATCTGAAAGTTTTAATGAACCGGTGGAGGAACTTTTGTTCTCATCACGTGCATCGCAATGTGTCCCATAGATCAAATGTAAAATAATAATATACGATTTGATGGTATAGTAATGCTGGTTCGTTCCATTATACAAGGAATTTTGAAAAGCTTTCAAAGCTAGATCGTGATAGAGTAAATGATTAGTTATGATATAGGTACAATAGTATGGGGTGCAGTGACCCCGATTAGCAAATTCATCTCGTCCAATATAGGTGAACGTCTCTGGAAGACAGCCAAGTCGAAGTCGCAAGCGCTTACTGTGAGTCAACGTACGTAGGGGAAGCTTTGGAGCGAAGACATTTCCATAAATCGTCGTTGCTCCCTTTTCGAGTGTGCTCTGGTATTTCCAACTGGTCGATAAATAGGTCTTCTCTCAATAGACTCGTTTTAGGTTAAGAATCATCGAAAAAACCATGATAAATTTTCATTTATACTTTTGTATATTTTGCGGGAAACAATTAGACATAAGAATAAAAAATGGATCCTTCCACCATGTTCACACTGATTTATTATTTCCATGTTGAACACGAAAGAGCCAAGGATGCAGCTTGGCATCTTCCCGGCGAAAAGGTGAACCACCTTGATGTCGTGCTGCCTCCGATAAAAGCCGACTTGCATGCGCCATGCGGACTCACGTATTTGCATAAATAATACCCCGGGCCATTTACTTTTATCGTTGAGACTGCACCTTCGATAGGGACTTTAATTGGGCTTACTGGAAAATTTTGTAAAAGATAAATTTCGTGGTAACGTTTTGGGTCGTTAACTCACACGCAGATTGTAAATTCCAATTGTATTACGCATTTCTTATCGTTCATACAAATCTCTTATCAATCTCTTCCTTAGAGTTTTACATTGAAATACTTACTATTTAACTTGGAAATTATTCTCTCATTTTCCCTTGCCTTTTTCTTTCTTTGAATTTATTCTCGCGTCATTCATTCGACGAATATTCGACTAGCCGAAAGGCAGAGTGCATAGAAAAAGTTTGAGATTCTTTTGAAGGATAATAAGCCATGTTGGACTATTCGAATGTCACTCCACTTTGTTCATTTTTCGCGAACTCACGAAAAATAATAAGTGAAAAGAGAAAAGAAGAAAAATGAAAGATACCTTTGTAACGTAGTTACAAAGTTCTACGTGTTTACGTAGTAAAAAAGAAAAAAAAAGAAAAAAAAGAAAAAAAAGAAAAAAAAAGAAAAAAAAAAGAAAAAAGGGTCAAGTTTTTAATACGAAGTAAGAGCTCTAATCCAGTCTCTTTTTTCTCCGTACTTTCTCGGACTCTGAAAGCTCGCTTGGCTGAAATCCAAAGCTTAGAGAGTAGCGAACTGGTTGTACCTTGTGGTGTGTCTATAGTCGGCCTCTACTACACTACTACTACTATTACAACTACTCTACTCTCTCTTTCTTTCTTTCTGCGTTTGGTGGTGCACATGCAGCTGCAGCCATGACACCGGGAACCAGGCCACTGTCCCACTTTACGCCTTTCCGTGCAATAAAGGTTACCTCTTCGTCGTCGTTGTCGTTTTCGTTGTCGCTGTCGTTGTCGTTGCCGTTGTCGTTGCCGTTGTCGTTGAGACGACGTACACGTAACCGACTCCTTACAAACCTCGTTTTAGTGTGAATCGAAAATCAGTAACGTTGAAAATCTATAGAACGAAGGGCATAGTTTATTTGATGGAATTTGTTAGTAGTCTAAAAAAGAAGAAGAGAGAAAGAGAGTATCTATCTAAAAGGACTCACATATCGTTAGAGAAAGACTTGAGATATCTTATATCTAGCAAATAAGTACTTTTAAATAATGACTGAATTAAGCGTCTTTAGCTTCCAGACGGTAGATACTATTTTTAGGGTTTCTATTTAAAACCTTATCAAAAATATTTTCTTTATTTTTACTTGTTTTTGAAATTACGTATTTACATGAAACGTGAGTAGATACCTACATGTTAGACACCTACATGTATATAATACATGTTGTTCCTTAAACGTACGTCAAGCTTAAATAAATATGGTGTTTACACCATATCACGTACCATTTGTCATCGTGTACGCGTATTGGGATACACGCAAGACACAAGGTTTATCACTGACGCCCCCACAAACGTAAATCTAATGAAGTAGACTAAACGAAGAGTTTGTCGTATCGTTCAAACAAAATTGCATTTGACCATTTTCGATGACGCAGATGTACTTTGTGTTTTTTATTTTTATTTTACTTCATTTTCTTCTTTTTTCCTTTTTCTCTCTTATAAAAGTATAATTAATTAGATGAAAGTCAATTGGAGAAGGAAAAAAAAAATAAAGAAATATATATTCAACATAAATTATTTTATCTATGAATATTATTGCATAATATTATTTTTTATATACCTTCACATAATTATAATTTTGAAAAATTGACGCATATATTAGAGATATTAAAAGGGTTAAACTCAAGGCTAACGCGGACGCGTTATAATCGTGCTCTTGAATCTTACAATGGCAGTAACTAGATTTCTCGTGACGAGCAAACACACACGCATGCATATAGATATACCTAAAGAATTTGCATGTTAATTGGAAATAAAGCGTTTACTCATCATTCCTTTATCTTTCATTTCGTTTTGTTTCTTATCGTTTTGTATATATTTCTGATATAACAAACAATAATATCTAAAAATAAGTGATTCGACTAAATACCGAATAAAAAGAAAGCTTTTTGAAAGGTGTAACAAGACGAAGAGGAACAGAAAAAAATGTATTGAAAGAATGAAAAAATAACGAACGACTGACGACTACCTGTCTGTCTATCAGCATGCAGCTTTAAGAAAAAACTACGAGTCTCGTGAGTTATTATTTTTCCACAGGATCGACACATCCATAGGTAATAACAACTCCGCATACTTAAGAAGTCCTTCGATTAATCGACGTTCCATTGGCGATGGCTTATTCGTAAAAATAAACTTAAAATAATAGTGTGATTAATGTTTGCGTCTAATATAAGATATCATTTATCTCTTTCAAAAAGTTGAACGCGCTGTGCAACACGTCGAGTGAATCTGACGTATAAACTAATGCCGTAAATGCGAAAACGTGTAATAAATCACATCCTTATTTATTCCAAATTTAAAATAATAGCTACATTCAATTTTAATGCAATATTTCAATGATCGTGTTATACAGTCAACATTTGTTGATCAATCAAAAAAACCAGAGAGGATCGTTCGTACAAGATTAAAATTCGAAAAGAAGAAAGAATAAGGGGGTGGGGTTAAGGTGGTCTCGTTAAGAGACTGGAAAGAGAACGATCGATGAGAATGAGGCGAACGGTAGAAGGACGAGAGAGCGCAGCGATAGTTTTCAGACAGTGCAGCTGCACCCCTTGTGTGCCCTGGCTGTTCGATAACCGAGGTGCAACGTCCGTTGGCCCCGAGAATATATCTAGGCCAACACCACCACCACCACCACCACCACCACCTACCAGTGGCACCAGCAGCAACAGCAGCAGCAGAACCGGTAGCAGCAGCACGAGCTAACAAAAGCAGCAGTATTACCAACACCACCCATATCAAACCGGTTACAAGTACTCTAACTAGACAAGTAACACTAACACCTGCTGCCTGCACTCTCGACATAATAGACCGATCCACGTGTCTTGTGTTTGCAATGCTTTGTTAGCCAGCAGCCGGCACCCTTGCCTGACAACGACGAGCTTTTTCCTTTGTTTCCTATTTCATAAAAGAATGTGTATATATATGCAAGAGTAAAAGAAAGGAAAGAAAAAAAAATGATAAAGGGACACGAGGGAGAAAAAGATTCTGCGACGCAACTAGGATGGTTCAATTAATTCAAGGACACGTCTAGGGAAAATCCGCTTTCTATTCAAATCGATAAGAGAAAAAAAAGCGATATTTCCAAGAGGAATTTTTCAATATCCTCGACCCGTTGCCACCTTCCAGAATAGAAGGTTGATAACTCGATGTATACAACACTCGTTTCCTTTCTTAGAAGAACTCTGCTTTCGATTTATTATCGGAAAAAGTAATCATCTCTCGAAAGATTCGTAGCTATTCACTCGAAATGTTGCAAAGAAACACGATTGCGCTTCATTTATTTCCTTTTTTTGAGCTTCGTTAAATTTATTTGTTGTACGAGAGAAATCTCGTTGAGAAAAAGAAAGGTAATTATTGCACAAATTAATTGTGTATACTCGTTGAATTATTCCTGTTCAATTGTAGAAATTCTTAATTGCGATTGCAAATTTTTTTTGTTCTTTTTTAATCTTTTTATTTAATCTGAAATACACTATTCTCTATTTATATTTCCAATGTAAACTTTTATTTCATTTTAGAAACAATACAATATCTAATGATGATTGTAGAATAGCGTGAAAAAGGTAGAAAAAAAATGGAATGAAAAAAAGAAAAGAAAAAAATATATTAGAGTATAATATTTTAGTGAAAGGACGCCCACGCGTGTGCGTTATCATATTATATCGATATGCGAATCGAGAATATAAAACGTTTAGATTTCCAAAAATATTGGGAAAATATATCGAATACATAGATTTCCATGTATGCGTATGCGTGTATAGATATTATTTGACCTTTTGCGATGTCACGTGTCGCGATAAAAAGTAATTCAATCGGAAAGATGTTTTTTTTATACCTTTATAGAATCGTTTCACGGAAGGATGTCTGTCATTGACATTTTCTCTAATGAACCAAAAGAATTCTTACAATGGTAGTCGTTAGATAACATTATCGTCTAGCTCATACATAATAACATCGATCGAAACACAGCATATATGTAACATATATGTAACATTTTGGAAAATAAGCCGCGAAACGAAGTTATCAAAGTGAAACTAAAGATTCAGCCCTCCTCCTTAGGAAAGGCCCCTACTTGCTCGTGCATCCGTTAAAGCTGTTCCACTTTCCACGTCGAGCGTGCAGCTCTTCGATAACCCTGGATGATTTACACCTCAGTTGGAGGTTCTATTATTTCGTGCTATATATTAGCTATATATTACAAATTGAAATACGAACGTACTATATTCCTTTCTAATTCAAATTCCAAACTTACGTTTAAATCAATCAACAACTATTTAATCTTTCTTTATCCAACAAAAACAGATACAAACATTTCTTTCAAGGAAATAGATTCAAGCGAATGATTTTAAATCGTTAGTTTCAATCATTCGATTCTTTTTTCTAGTTCTATGAATCAGAGTAATGAGAGCTATTTTGGGATACGTCAATACACAAACGCAGTATTATTTGATAGTTGTCACTCACATTGGTTTTGCTGACGTTCATTCTCTTTGAGAATGCAAACGAGAAATATATCTAACCGTATTGTAATAATAATAATAATAATAATAATAATAATAATAATAATAATAATCGTGTTTACAGGATGATCACGGCATTACCAGTTCCATCGGTAAAGGTCTTCCACAAAACTTATTACCAAGAAAAGGGGACGAGAATAGGAAATAGCCAACCGGGAAGCCCATTGGCAGAAAGTGAAGCAGTCTTAGCGTTGGCTGACAAAGAACCACCAGAATATTATTTTTGTGGAAAGGTACATGAGAAAAGAAAAACATCCTTTAATATTTCAATTCATTCTTCACCCACGTATGTGAATCTCATAAGCTATTCGTAATATGGTAGGGAATGGTAGACTTTATTCCATCAAAATTTGTATCTATTACGACATTTTGATACTTTCTTCTCTCATAGTTACGAAAAAATTTAACTAGAATTTTGTTTAAATCTCTCGAAAAATAAAAGCCTGATGGAAATAAAGGTTAAAAATAACAGAAGGATATTTAAAAGCGTGGGTATTAAGCTTAGAAACAACACACAGGGATTTTGTTTTCACTGAAAAATAAAATAATTATTTAATCGTGGCATAAGGTTTAAATATTTCATATTTTTTTACAGTAATGTGAGGAAAAAGTATTTTTTCATTTAATTCCTTTCCATTCGTAAGCATAAATAATGAAATATTTATAAAGAGTTTGAAAGATTGAAATCTTATAAAATGCAGTTTTTGTATAAGAAGTTTAAAAAAAGCATCACGGAGAGTCGATCGATATTCGATTACTACGTTATAGTAATTTTAAGTTATTGACGTAGGGGTTATAGGAAGGGAAGGAAGATATTTGTGACGTCATTCGATCCTCGTAGGCGTTACGAGAGGAAGGGCGGAAAAAGCTCTTCTCTTGTAATTTAAACGTGTATCGAGTTTTTTGTTTTATTACAAACTTTTTCATTTTGTTTGATGGAAGAGTATAATTGACATTTCAAATGAAATTTTTTAGAAGAACAGATATTATTTACCTCTTCATCTTTTTCTGTCTCATTTATTTTGTAATCGTTCGTAATTACTCGTCCAAAGTAATTCGATTAAATTGTACGCATTATCTAAGCCGAAGTTAAACGATTATTTTTCATTAAAATTAATATAATTAATCTCTCATTATAAATGGCTTAGCTTCTGTTAGGAAAATGCCAATTAAGTATAAATTTAAACTACCTCTCGCACGCGATGTTCAATGAGTTTGAGTCGATCTATATTTTGGAAAAAAATTCAATGACCTTGACCTTGGTGCTCGATAACGAAAAGTCGAAGGAGAAATTCGAACTCGGCTGAAGGTGCAGCCGAACGAGAAACGCGACAAAGAGCTACCACCCTATCGAGACAGCTATAAAACGTTCCTCAGTTCGCAGAATCAAATTGATCCCTAGAGAAACAAAGAATTACAAGATTTATGCTCTTCTCCTTTTCAAATAGAAATATCCAATCTTTTAGTGTTAATTATATTATAACTCGTTGTAAAGTTTAAAGGGTAGACCGATCGATAGGGTCATGATGTAAAAATTGTCGCCCTTTAATTCTTTAACACGTGTGTGTATATATATATATATATATATATATATATATAATATTAAATAGAATATTTGTTATAAATATTAACAGGTAAATTCTCTTCATGTTGTCGTGGGATCTCTACTTTTTGGATCCGTTGTGCTCGTCGTTGGCTTAGTCCAACTTGCACCGGGAGCCGAAGCCGCACAAAACTCGGCTGTGTTGATAGCTGCTGGATGCGGTCTTCTCCTCGTTGGTGTTTTCTTAGCGCCCCTTCGAGCACTCTGTATTAGAAGACAAAAGGCTGCTCAGAAGGATGGCACGCATCAGAGAAGTATCACCAGCATAGACAAACTTCTATCTCAAAACAGGTAGATCTCTTTAAATTTGACATATTTTTAAATATATTTTTTTATCTATTACCATTTGTAATGAATTGTACTATCAGAGATTTCACTGTCCTGACACCGGACGAACTGGAGGATCTCGTAGGAAGGCCGGCCTCAAGTTTGGAAAACAACAAAACGAGTTCGAAACAAATTCGAAGTACCTAGGTATTGTCAGCCTCGAAGAAGGTAATGCCTTCATCGCCGACGTGCTCGAACACACCATCCTCATCTACATCACCAGGAACGAACTCCTCCATTCTTTACACTCATCGTTTCGACTCGCGCGAGCACAGTCTCGTTTGAAAGAAAGTTTCAAAGCTTATATCAAAGCAAATTTCCGTAATCAGAGGAATAGGGTTAAAAAAAAAGAAAAAATATAAAATAAACAGAAAATAAAATTACGACAACGACGACGAAGCACACAGGAAGAGAATTCATTTAACATTTAAACATTACAATCTTCGATCATCTAATAATTTATTATTCATTCATTTTCTCCTTTAGTTTAACGCATCTAACTTGTAATACTACTTTCGCTTACGACCAATTGGCGTTTTACTTGATTATTATTATTATTATTATTATTATTATTATTATTATTATTATGGTTTTGGGTCCAACGAGGAAAAACGTATGTTTCTGAGAAATCGATTTTTTGTCGACAGATTCGTATTTACATTGGCATGCAAATCAAATTGTTCTACATCAGAGAATAAAATAAATACGAAATTATTATTTCATTGAAAACTTTGTATTTTTCGCATCGATGGAAATGAATGAATTCGTTTGTTAGGAAAGTTCTGAAATTGTATTATTATTAGTTCTGGATTGATGTAACTTTAAAATTATTATATGATATCATTCCAACCAAACTCAACTAGATCAACAAACAATTTCAATTTGAATGATTGAGAAATAATGAAGATAAATTTAATTAGTTGAGTAAGAAAGTTTATAATATTAATAATAACGATAATAAACAAACAAGGCCTAAGCCAAAATAATTATAATTATGATAGTTTATAAAATAACATGTGAATAATTGAATATAAACTACATAAATAAATCAGTTGATTGCATTTGAAATCATAAACAATTCATCGTAAAATCGTAAATTGAAGCTGCTGTTATTTCAAAGTATATTCATCAATTTAGAATGATTTATTCAGAGGTAAAAATAGATTCGATCAAAGCACGTAGTCCATTGAAATTGGCAAGTTTGTGTTTCTAAAACGATTGAAAATCGTTACGTTGATGGTCTAACAAGATAAATTTGAGATCAAAGAATAATACGTTTTTTCTTCCTCCAAAAAAGATCGAAGACGAATTGATTAGAAATAAAAGCGTCGTAGGATGAGCGTGAATATTCACGACTAAAATTTCTCTATGTAGAAAGAAAAATTTAAAGAAAGTAACGTGCAAATTCGACCAATCAAAGGAGTTGCCTTCCCTTCGTCGTACGTTGTTCAAGTTGCGGTCCACTCTTTGTGTTCCAAAAAAAAAAAAAATAATAATCAATATCCAAAACAAAACAAAAAAAGAAAAATGCATTCAATGATGCATACGTTGCAATGCATCTTGCAATCAACATCATGCATTTAAATCGAACATCTTGAAAAATGATGCTTTAAAAAAGATAAAGAAAAAAACTTTGAGCGAAATGAGTTATAACATAAATATATATATATATATACACCCTACTATACACGAGAGAAAACATGAATAACAACATAATCATTTAATAAACCGAGACATAGCGATGTAAGTATATATATATTTCTCGTATCGTAATTTTTCTAATGGGGTTCGCACGTTTCTCCCATAGACAACGGAGAAACGTGTTTTCTGTTTTTTGAAAGATCGTTAAATGCGCGCGCGCGAAATACGTATGTATATTATATTACACGTATTATTTGATTGATGATAATACGAAGAAAATCATTTCCTCACTCTTATTATTAGATATTTGTTATTACTGTTATTGTTCTTATCGTTCTTCATTCGTAACGTTGAATATTTTGTGTCGTATCTCTATTATTAAAAAAAAAAAAACAAAAAAAAGACAAAATGAGAAGAAGAAAGTATGTAATTTTATCAAGAAAAAAACTAACTTCGTTATTCCGTTCAATTTCGTCTACGCCAAAGTCAATTCGTAGGAACCCTTTGTGCATCGAAAGATATAAAAAAAATCTATCGATCATCCAAAAAGAAAAAAATATAAAAATAAGATCGTTACACAAAGGGTTTAATGAAATCATTCGTACTCGGAATAATCCACGTTACAATCCCGTCAAGATATAAGTCTGAGCAACTGCCCTTATTAAAGATGATGATGATGAAGAATAAAAAGACGAAGATGAAGGAGGAGATGAAGATGATTTAAGGAACAAAAAAAAAACAAGAGATATAAAAAATAATATATTATATATATACGTATAAATAGTGTATCTCGTGATATGCCGCGACGATCGGACTTTTACTTTTACCCCCCAGTGTAAGCGGTCGTTTGGTAAATGATTACTTTCGCTAAAAAAAATGTCATCTAATGATAATCAAATTTGTTTAGATAATACGCGCGATCAATCTTCTAATTTCGCGTAAGTAAGTGAGAATGTAATTCGAATGAAAATATGAGTGGAACGTATATTGTCGTTGATGTGTCACGTGCCTAGTAGCTAATATCGTTCAATTAATTATTCGCATATTGTTTTTTTTTCTTTTCTCAAAAGACACGAATTCGCCTTCATCGTGCTTTTAAAGTAATGATTAATGACAAAAGATGCATAAATAGTATAGGAAAAGCGTTTCTCGCTTATAGTGATTACAACACCTTACTTTATCAAGTTCCTGCGAAGATTATATTATTAAAAAAGAACAAGCAACAACAACAACAACAACAACAACAACAACAACAATGGTTAAACGGAGCTTCGGCTGATACAATCTTTTCTAGCTTTTAAGCTGATTTTTTAAAAGGCAAGATAAACTTTAGAAAAAAGATTAGTTCGGTGGTACGATTGATGTTAAATAACGAACGGATTCGAATTCAAACTTGAACTCGACGGACGGTAATCCTTGCTTAGCTCCATTTTGCGAGTTAAAAAGTATAGCCTTTGGAATATACAGGGATATAAATAATAATTGTGACGAATGGGAAATTAAGCTAAAGAGATATAGGTATGTGATAATGTGCAGGGTGAAAGATTTTTAATAGGAATTAACTTTCGTAAGCAGTTTTTTCTCTTCTTTTATGATTGTAGACAACAATATTTCTCTCAGGGGAAATTGACATAACGTTTCGAAAATGCAATATTTCTCTACGTTGATCACTTTTTCCTCGGTCATACATAAATAAATAAATAAATAAATAAATAATAAAAAGATCTTTCTACGTTCCTATTTAAATAGTTCACCCTATACATATATATGTATATCTAAGTACGTCCAAATAGACGAACGTAATAATGGCTCTAAAATCGATAATATCTTCGATATTTATAGTATGCAGCGCACAAGTTCTTCAAATTTGCAAACAAATTTCAATAGTCGTTGCGCTAATTATTTTAATCAAACTCATTTCCTTTCATCACACTGCGATCATTTTTTTAGAAATGTCTCATAACATTTATAGAGAGAAAGAAAAGAGAAAGAAAATGAAAGGAGGATTAGATACTAATTTAGGAGATTAGACGAACGAAAGAAGGAAAAGAGATAAACGTAAAGAGATCGTAGATAAAGTCATTTTTTTGATGCTAGAAAAGTGAAATTTGGATTTTCGAATTAGCACATTTTTTTCCGCTGATTCTACGATCCCAATTTTTGACGTCCTATTAGAGAAATATTAGATAACTCGACGTATAGATCATAGCGAGTGATCGATAATTGAACTTTGACGTTGTTGACAATTTTTCGACGATAGGATAATTCACAGTGTGAAATGAAATGGAAGATGACAAATGAGATTGTATTTCATTCACGCTAGATTAACGAACCCACAACAGTGAAACATACCGAGACGATATTTGTATTGTTTAATGTGCTTCATATTATATGAAACATAAATCGATGTTTAAATGTATAGAAAGAAAGAAAGAAAGAGAGAGAGAGAGAGAGAGAGAGAGAGAGAGAGAGAAATTCTTAGGTCATAAGTTTTAATTCTTATCGTAGAATGCATTAAGAAAAAGGTTAATAAAAAAGAAAAAAAGAAAGAAAGAGGAGCGTTTAGAGATACTAGATACAAATCTAAGTCTATTTGCGAATGCTTGTTCATATCATAGAACGTATAACGTCCTTTGTAATTCATCTTTTTGCTTCGAGCGATTCTCGTAGTTACGAGAATATTCATTGTCGAAAAAGAAGAGATAGTTAGAAGAAGATAAAAGAAAGCAACATTTCAGTGAGAATTTAAACGGAAAAGCGACGTTTGTTATCGATATATATATTATTCTAATACATCTTGTGTTAGAAAAATAAAAAGTTCTAGTTTTCGAATGAATTCGTCGCACCGTTTCTCTCTATAATTTCAATCAAAAGTTTTTCGTAAAATAACCTCGCTCCTGGTATAAAATGCAGACTGTAGAAAGAAAGAAAAAAAGAAAAAAAAGAAGAAAAAGAGAAAAAAAGAAAAAGAGAGTAATAATTATATGCTAAATATGTACGAACGTGCAAAAAAATTTTAAAGGAAACATATCCATTGAGTCACGAACGCGGAGAAATATTTTTTCATTACCATTAGTGCTCACCATTTCAAAGGGAGAAATAATTATAATATATATATTACGTAAAAATACGTACATACATAAATACATAAATGCGCATATAATCACACAAACGCTACTTGCATTTTTCTCAAGATCGAGGTCGTATTTGCTGTGGTTTTCTTCCTTCCATAAATGAGAGAAAAATAGAAAAATCGGAAAAATCAAGAGTGATGTAGTAGGAGATATATGGAAAAGAAACTTTTCGCGTAATAAGTTTCGTACGATTTTTGCGAATACGTTGCGGACGGAGGAAAAAATAAAATAAGAAGCAATTATTTTCGAATGTAATGTAAATTCGTAAAATTATAAGGAGCGTGCCTGACATATTTTAGGAAATTTTATCAGTGTAGAGATGAAGAGAAAAGAGGTAAAAAAAAAAAAAAAGAAAATAAGAAAAAAAAAATAGTAAGAAAACGAACAAAAAGGTGGTGGACTTTGTTTTTTGTAATTTAGCATACGAGAAAAGTGCACGCTTATTGTTGCAATTATTATCCTTTGTAATATCACAAGAGTAACAAAGAGAGAGAGAGAGAAAGAGAGGGGAAAAGATAAAAAATAAATGTCGCGATTAGAGGTGCTTTTTTAGAATGCGAATATGGGTCGTTGAGAAACATAGTCGAGGAAAATAAGATGGATGAAAGATGAAAATCTTTCGTTATTAGATCGCGAGATACCGCTTAGTTTTGTTCCAAAAATATCTCGGGCATGATAGGCTTTAGAAAAAAAAAGATTAAAAAAGATAAATAAAAGTTGGATTTCGATAGCGTGCAACGAGAAAGCCATCGTCGTCGCGAGATAATAAAAAGAAAAAAAAAAAGACATTATTAAAATAAAATAAAACGCGATAAATATTCGTTAAATTGCATTTAACCTTTTGCACTCGAGGCCTTTTTCGCTTGGACGAAGCAACTACTTGAGACGATTATACCAAATTGATTATAGCACTCGAGTACAGAGGGTTAATTGATATTCAAATAAAACTCGACACGATTATAGCAAATTTAAATTATTAGGTAAATATATAATATATATAATAATATATATATAAAAAAAAATACGCTAACGAGAGACGGACTTTAGGACAAAAAAAAAAAGAATTTTTATCCTGTCGTTATTTAATAGATATATCTATAAAATATGTATATCCACGTGCTCGATACTTTTTGTTCGTTGATCGAACTCTTCCGAACTAACTTATCGATAATCGTGTATGATTTCGATTTAAAAAAAAAAAAAAAATAAAAAAAAAGCAAAAGAACAAATAAAACCAAAAAAAAAGTTTGTAAAATTCATCGAAAACGAATGTTAAGGTAAAGCGTGTAAATAAATTCCTATATATCTCTTCTCATTCATCGTCGTTAGAATTCGTTGAATTTTATGAGCCAACGTAATTGTCAAATAAAAAAAAATCAATTTTTTGATCGTCGATAAATATATTAAACTATCTATTATCATAATTCTAATGAAAAAGAAAAAAATAATAAGAAATAAAAAGATAAAAAAACTTCAGCTATTACGATATAATACATATATCTATATTCAATAACGAAATGTCTTCTTTAAAATGAAGAAATCGTAGCCGTCTTTTTATCAAACTTTATCATATCACGAAAGAAGCTTCAATGAAATCGTCTTCTAACGATTGAAAACAAAAAAAAAAATCATCTGACTAATCGTGTCTAAATTACGAAATTAATTATAATCTCTTACGATACTTGGGACAGTTATCAACGATATTTATACTTAATACGTATAACGATTAATATACATGCATAAATACATACATCAAAGCATACATATAATACATATAAATATATTATATATATATATATAGTATATAATATCGAAAAAAACCAATTTTCAAAAAAAAATCACGACGGCTTCTCGTTGTACACTAGAGTCCGTGATTAATATTAAGTCATTCAACGCACACTCGTAGTTCTAAGGGTTTTTATAATGGTGCTCTATGGAAGCAATTGTATTATTCGATTGAGATTTCAAAGATTAGCAACGTACAGCAAAAAGTTGTTCATTCAAGAATGAGAGAGATTTCCTGTAGAACATCATGATACATACCGAAAATTGTAAATAATAAGAATGAGATTTATGAAAGATCTGAGATTAGGACAGAAAGACAAAGAAGAAAGTTTGTCAGAAGATTGCTAGCGATCCTTTGAAAATTTCTCTTTTCATTCTTTTTTTCTTCTTCTTCTTCTGTTATCACTAAAATAAAATAAAATAAAATAGAAAGAAGCAAGAATGAATTACTCGTCGAATTAACGATTAGTTAATAAATGTAACAGAGAATGACGTTAAGTTTAAAGTAAAGTAATTAATAATAAGATTCATTGTGTAAGATTAATTGAACATGTCGTTAAGTTAAAAATAATTTTTCGTCACGAATTTTCAAGAGGAAATTTTATCCTCTGTTTTTTATTTTTGTAATCGCTCGAAAAGGATAAAAATGATTTCTATGGGAAGAAAAGAAAGTATAAACGAAAAAGAAGAGCTTGAATAATAATTAAAAAAGAAACAAAGGTAATACGCGTTGTAAGAAGTTCGGAGTATTTAATAAATGCATTTAAAGGAACGATGACTGTGTTTGCAAGCTGTGTTCTCAAATGTAAGACGGAAAAGTTAATTACTAATAATTAACACGATGATAAACGTGATGAAAATGATTCGACGTGATACGAATAATCGTTGTAAACGTTACTTATCATGTAAACGTTTATTCGAGCCATTTATACCTGGCTACAAATAAGAATCGGTACTTGTAGTGATTTAACGAACATGTCATTACTTTATCGCTTAAGAATTACGTTAATCCGTATATTTTGTAAGCCAAGATTATCGATAGTGATTAATAAACATTACTACGTATTACGATAAACCTCTATTTGATCAAGTTATGCAGAAATCTACCAATCCTTGGTCCAAACTTGGCCCAAAATTAACATGTGCACCCGTTAGAAGTAGAAAAACGTCAAAAAATGACGTATTTCGTCTGTTCTACGAATAAGGTTAGTCGTCAAAATTCTTTGTAGTATTCAAATGCTATCAAAATTCATTTCATAGTTACTTTCAAAGTAAAAGGATCAAATTCATAAACGATGGATGAAATATAGACGTACATTCGTTCACAAATTTCTACTTTCATTTTCATCGGTTGAACAATAAAAAAAGTAAAATGATAGAAAGGATCATATAATTTTTTGCATGGATAGAGATAATAAAATCAGATTAATACTTTCCATAAGAATATTTAAAAAAAATGTTTAACATTTACATTTGCGCGTCTCCGTCAACGTCCGTCCTACTTTTATTGTCTTTGAGTACGTGGTTATGTATATGTCGATGGGGATTTCGATACAATATGAAAGATCATCAAGTAATTATTTCATTTAATTATCAATTCTCTAACATTATTATATTAATAATATTATTTTGATATTCATTTAATTATTTAACAGGTCTTGTATTGTTTGATAATGTACTTTTTCATTATAACGCTTCTCAATATGATATTTTTGGGTCATTTGCAACTCAGTTGCGATCATGTATCATCGACTGATAATTAATATTAATTTCAATTCATTCATAAAGATAAATAGTTGTTTTGTAATCGTATAAAATTATAATGTATTTATTTTTAACGTGACACATTAATTCAAATGGTAATTTGAAGTTCCTGCGCAATCCTTGACGCATGCGCAGATACAAGTGACGTCCTAGATAGCGTTATAGTTAGTTGACGCATGTGCACGGAGTTTTTTCGGACTGTCAATTGTGCAGTGCATTGTGCAGTGTATTGGTGCATAATACGATTGTAAACATTAAAAAAGTAAGATTTATTAATCATTTATCTTTTACTTTTCGATCATTTCTTGAAATAATAAATTACTATATATTTGTTCGATTACATGTTGAGCAGAAATATTACATCTAACCTCAAAATTACATTTGTAATTTATATGTTAATTATATCAAAGAAATACTATTAATAATAATTAAAACGTTATATATTTTTAGATGAACTTGAGAAGGCATACACAATTCCTTGCCAGAACGATATTTGTCAAGAACAATGATGTTGAAAAGGCAGCACGTACTATGAATCGTATTCTTAACAGTGAAGGTATATTTCAACAGTACAGATTAACTAGATACTTTGAAAGACCTACAAACACAAGACGACGAGTTAATTTTGAAAGGTGTAAAGCTATATACAATGAGGATATGACCAGAAAAATCAAATTGTTAACACGGACAGTTAGAGAAGAAGCTTATCCTGGTTGTTCTTAAAGCTTCTTTTTTTCTTCGTAGACACAATTAATAATTTCTATTATTAAATAAAATTCTGAAAAGAAAATGTTTTCATTTTCTGTTGATATATTGAATAAATATGCTGAGAAAGAAGAAGCTAATTCATATTATCTAAGCGACTAAATTCTTTATCATCTTTGTTACTCTTCCTTTTATGGGCTTGTGAAACCTCTATAATATCCTTCCCAGTGCTCCAAAGCAGTCATCATTTGATACTCTATTTTGTTTAATTTAGGAGCAAAAGTTATATAAATTTTGTCTAATGCATCATTCAATTGTATGAAATCCAATTTATCATCAACGAATAATTGTTCGAGTTGAATTGACTAGGACCTGCAAAATGCATATTTTAACTATAATGTATTGTTTGGTTTCCCTAATATTATTCATGTCAACATGATCATGTTTAGTATTGATTCAGTTTTGATTGAGCATATCAATAATATTTCTATAACAAGAGATATTAATAAACATTGTTTAGTGTGTTTCTGAGTCTAATGTAAATGATTTATGATATTGATTATCCTATCAACTTATAGGATTTCGAATAATTAGTTTGTTCGTCAATATCATCGTGTAAAGTAGTAAAGGGAATCTCCGGGTAAGAGGCAAATATTTGAATTTTAGACGCCGAGTATTACCGCTCTCTCGCGAGAAATTGGATCAACACGTTTGTATCGACGGATCAAACATTTTTCAAGCTCTCAGATCATAATACAAAAGAGAATAAGTTTTGTAACATGCGCACTAAAGTTCTTTGTTTTTTTTTTCTTTAAATCCTATAGATCGTAAAGCAACATAAAATAGAAAAAATATGAGTTAGGAAGACGTACACCAGATTTATCATAGTGATTTTCATTTTATTCTTTTGGAATCAAATTATCATGGCGAAAACTTATCTATTCTAATAATCCTGTCGTCTAGGATATTGCCAGACGGTAGATACAGCAGGAGAATTCGTTCTTCTCGAATTTCTGGATAGGAACGGTTCTACGAGTATCTCTCTCTCTCTCTCTCTCTCTGTCCCCCTCTCTTTATCTATCCTTCTTTCTTTTTCTTTGATGAAAAACTTGGCACTACTTCCCATCCGTTCCTACTATCTATTCAATTTTCGCCAAGTTGGCGGAGCCGTTGCCAAGAAAACCAACGGGACGTTTTGTCTTTTCTCACTTTTCGCGGGTCTCCTACAAGCTAGCGGAGAAAGATGAAGGAAGCAGCGTGAAAAAAGATAATTCCGCTCCCGTGGAGTTTCTTTGAGTTACGAGGCGAGATAGCGCCGGCAAAAACCGACAACGAACAATCCAACCTCGGTTTCTTTTACTCGACTAAAAGACTCAGGGAAAGTAAAAAAGCAAAAGTACGTACTTATCAAAGTTGTAATGAAAATCAATTAGGAACTCACTTAGCGAGTTACTTATCGCATTAATTAGTCCTTAACTGTTCGTCAATTTCTACTAAATTTTCAAACCGTACAAAATACGTGGATGTAATAATAGGTAATAATATATGTTTCAAGTAGATTTAATATAATCTATTTATACGCGTGGAATATGTTTGGTTATTGTGTTTATGAAGGATCGAAATACTTCTCGAGTTTCAATTATTTACAATGAAGATTTTGAATTTATTTGCCATTATAATTCTACGTTTCAATAACACTATGAATTTTCATATGTTTCACTCGAGTCAAATGAAACAATAAGTAATATTAAATTAATAGAAACACATATAAGTATATGGAAATAACATTTGACCTGAATGAACATTTTTCCCTTTATAGGAAAAATTAATTCAGAAGTAAATAAAATACGCTGTCAAAAGCTATGAAGAGCTGTAATTAATTTGAAAATATTTTATAAAGTCGAACGCGCTATTAAATTAAAAAAAATGATTGGTTATCAATCGATCTTACTCTTTCAAATTAACCGTATAATATAATTTTATTTAAATTCAAAAACATAATACGTTTAACTTTTTCTACACGTGACGCAAGTATCTACGTCGCGACGTATCAATTGTATTTGACGATTACATCGACTTATCCAATAATATTTGTTGATGTTACTTTTCGACGGGATACTCGAGAGTAAAATTTATCAAGGGTTTATCCCGCTACTTGACCTACGTCGAGCAAACATATTTGTACGATTTATCTTTTCGTTTACTATACGCGAAACAAACATTGCAATTTGTTACCTCTCATATCGTCGCCGTGTAAAACACGATTTCTCCTATTTTTATTTTTATCCTTTATTTCCTTTTTTTCTCTCTCTCTTCGTTATTAAAATACGTAAATATGCATACGTATGTAGAAAATAATATCAAAAATTAAAATTATCTATGAAAAAATTGAAATTTGTGATACAAAACAAATGCATTATTATTACAAAAGATTCTAATCTTGCTAATCTTGTAATATAAATAAGAGGAGTATTTAAACTTTAGTAATTTCGGTATGACTCAATTAAAGGGATGTTAATTATCAAATTGATGTAGAAAACTTGAGATACGTTAATGCGATGTCAAAGAGAAGACGGACTTAAAGACGAAAAGCCAATGAGAGTTAAGACGAGAAAACAGAGAGAGAGAGAGAGAGAGAGAGAGAGAAAGAGATTGTATACCCTTAGGGGATGAAGATAGACAGAGATAGAAATCTAGTTCTAGTAAAGTCTAGTCTTGCGAGTAGTTCGAAGGTGGTTTCGAATCCAAATTCTCAAGAGTTAAGCCAAACCGTCTTCTCAACCGGAACGTACTCTCGTTCTCTCCGCAGAGTCTGTTCTTCGGTAAGTCTGAAATGAGATCTGCCAGCTCGTACTGTCCTTGATTCTCGCATGCAAACGATCATGAATGCTCACTCAATATCAGCCAAGTTGCGAACCTCTTCGATAATCCTCGAATCAGTCAACAAACGTGTGAGCGAGTTGAGGTACGTATGTAAGAATGAGAGAAAGCTTGAAGATTCAAGAGAGAAGCTAAAGGTAGGATAGGATAAATCACGCCTTTCCGAGTTCTCTCCGCGATTTTCTCACCATTTTCCGGCTATTTTTTTTACCACTTTATACCAGTTATTCTATAGAAATAAATGAGGAAGATGTTATCTATACAAAATTGAAATAGGTAATTCAATACTTGTCTTTTTTTCGTGATCACTTTCAAAATGATATGATGTATGTAATATCTTTCAACAAGGCTTATCGATAAGAAAATTATCCTGCAATTTGATTTTGTTCTATTTTCTTACTTGTATCTAAGATTTTTCCTATTTCACGTTGTGTTATTTCTAAATCAATTTGATCGCAAACATCGTAGAAACATCCGACGTATGAAAGAACAATAGTAAAAGATTTCTAAGAATCGATATAATCGAAATATGAAAAATTCATGGCACAAGTCTCAGAAGACGTTCGAAGAAAGTTTCAAAATAATTGTATTATTTGTCAGAAGTTTTCTTGCAATATCGATTAATAATTATCTACACGTAAAGAAGAACTTTGTAAATTTTAAATTAAGATGATATTTTCTTACAATAACGTGTTTATCCGTAGGAGAATATGTATAAGAAAGGATAATAATCCTGAGAACAAGACAACATTTTCTAGTTTGTTCTTTTTCATCCGCGTTTACATTAAAAATACAATGTGCTAATTGAATCATAACTGACTCATAGATAGAACTTATTTTTCTTTTGGAAAGCATTTATCTCATCGCATAAAAGCTATTCTCTCGTGTCCGCAAACGCATTGCTCGATATTGTTCTCGAGTTTATTTGTTCTCTGCGTTTTGTGATTTATTTCCGGTCTCGAAAAGCGTATACCGAAGTTAACCGAAGAAGGAAAACGATACTGCAATGCGGTGGTTAGTAATGCCAAATTTAAGTGGAATGTTAGCATGATACACATGGACCAGAAACGTATAAGAAGAGAGAACAGAACGGTCTTTATCATTTTCCTCCATCCTAAATGCATTTACCACGCTCGAACGATTTTTTTTTATACGCTCTCTCCTTGACTCATACCTTCAGTTTTCCACTTGATTTGACAAAATCCAAATAAATAATTTATCACTTTATAACCTTTTCCTTTCTTTTTTTTTTTTTTTTTTTTTTTACAAGAGTTATATTCGTTTCTGTAAATACCTATATGATGTACTGTAGAAAATAATTAGTCAGAATAATTATCAATGAAAATGATTCGTTTACTCGTGATATCTACTGATTAATTCTACTCACGATCGTGCAAGCCATGCTTCTACCTATTGAAACGGAATGAGCTTGAATGAAAAGGAAAGCGTCGAGTAACATCGAATCTCGCGAGAATGTTAGAAAGTCGAGAGGAATGCAAATGTCGATCTTCGTTTCGCACACAGGATCCTTTTGTCCTTGATAGAAGCGTGTCGAGCTGGCGGAGGAGCACGTCGTAAAACGAGATTATTTGAGCCTAGACGACGAGACGATCGATGGAATGGATAGTAAAGTCTCTTCTATGTGTTATCTACAAAAGCTAGGACTGCCCCTTCCTGCATATTGCAGTAGAAGCCTCAAAATTACTTTCCAGCTCGATAGCTAATGCTTCAGCCCTTTAAATATTCCAATTCGTTACTCACCATCTCTATTTTCGATCCTTAACTTTTTCTCTCTCCCCCTCGTTCAAATAGCCGAACACCAAATCGAGATCAATTCTTCTACCTTTTCTCTTTTTAAATATTTCCACGCGATAGCTTATCCCTTTCTTTTATTATTAAACCCAATCCTGCCAATCTCTTTTCGATCTGTCACTTTTTTTTTTACTTCTATTTTTATTTTTGCCATGTGACGCAAATAAGTTTTAACCTATATTTTCATAATTATTTAATTCATCCTTATTATTTACTTCAATATAATTCCGTCATTTGTTTTGATGCTAATTTTACTGACCAATTAATATTTTATTAGCTTAATATTAATCCAATTTAATCATTTGAAAATTGTGGCATATATCTTGTTGTGGTTTTATAAATAATACGACATTAAAATGAAAAATGACCGCGCGAATATTAAAACTTTTCTATAAAATATTTTCAACGCGAA